GCTCTGCTCAAGGTGCCATGTTCAATCTTAGTTGCGGGTGGGCATAGCCCACCATCCCATGCGGGAGTCGAACCAAAACCCTTGCTGTTAGGAGCATGTACGCTCACCAGCTCAGCCATCCTGCCACCTGTTGGCAGCTCAGCTCGGGGCGCAGCTCACTGGCCCATGTGGGAATTGATCCAGCGACCCTGTTGCTCAGAGCTCGCACTCTTGAGCAAGCTCTTAACCAACTGAGCCACTTGGCTGGCCCCCGTGTAAGCCATTTTTAAGTGTACAGTCCCATAGTGTTAAACATAGTCACATTTTGCTGCACCAGATTTCTAGAACTTTTTCAACTGGCAAAACAGAAATTCGATGCCCACTGGACATTATCTCTCATTTCCCCCTCCCCCAACCCCTATTTCTGTTTCTAGGGAGCACTAAACTATATCACAAATCAGGAAATCATGTCCAACTACATAATTTGTGGTGCTCAGCACACAAAATGAGGATGACATGTATGAGGAATGCCAAGATAGTGACAGCAGACCCGTAAACCAAGCTCAGGGCCCTTCCAAGCACAGTCCCATGTCACAGGGCCCATGATACAGGCCCTAGAGGAAACAAAGGGCCAGAGAAGTTAAGCTACTTCCCCAAGGTCACACAGCAAATTTGGGAGCTGATAAAAGTACGTGACTTCCTTCACTTACAGGGAACCCCTGGCAGGCAGGGACTTTGATTTGCTCACGGATGATGGCCAGGTACCCAGCACCGTGCCTGGCACACATTGGCATTCCTGACATATTTCATGTGTGGAAGAATGAATGAGTTGGGTTTGCCCAATGAAGAAGAGGCTTCTCCGAGGTTCTGCGCTTTGCCTGAGCTCTAGCACAGTCACAGCCTCATTCCTTATCCGCCTTTCTGTTTACCTAAAGCCTTTGAATTCTCAGGAGAAGCCAGCATGGCGTGGGGCTGCCTCTAGGGAATGTCCCCGGCACTTTTATGAGGCCTCACCTCTTAAAACTATTCCTGGTCTTGAGTCCCATTTGTATAGGGTGGAGTGGAGCTCAAAGACTCTGGATAACGTGAGGTCACTGGGTGGCGTGTTCTGGCTCCAGGTCACCAGGAATCTGATGGCCAAGTCCCCCATCTGATCTCAACAGAAGAAAACTAGAACCGAATTATGACAGTGTGAGTAAAACATGAGTTTTATTTATCATTTTTGCATTCGGATCTGCGAAAGAGTTTGGGGAGCTAGGCTAATTTTCATGTCTTTAAGGGACTTCATTTTTCTCTCTGAGTGTTTATGACATTCTTGGCTGGCAGTGGGAAAAAGGGAGTGAAGCACCTCAGGGGCACATTAATGGATTAGTCCTAATCCTGATCCCATGACCTCTTGTCATCATCATTCAGTGCATGGCTCTCTTATAGTGTCATTATTCTCTCTTTATTTGTCTATTTTCAGGAAAAGAATGAATACCTGTCATCCTACCCAAGAACAAGAGCATTACCGATAACTCACACCTCCTCTGGGCTCCTTACCTGTCTTGTCGTTCCCTCTCAGAGGTAATCCCTAGGCTGAATTTTGGGTTTTCTAGTCGTCTCTTGCCCGATGTGTTACATTTGTATACCTAGCTAAATCATGTATTGTTTCATTTTACTTGGTTTTGAAATTCATAGAAAGGGTAGTATACAATTTGTCATGTTCTGACACTTGGCTTTTTTGACTCAAGGACAGTTAAAAAGACTCTCTCTCCTCCACCCCCTTTCTGCATGTAACTGCGTCTTTTCTTTTCGCTGCCGTATAATATCCCCCTGTCTGGATAGCCTGTAATGTATATTTATCTCTTCTCCCACCACGGGCATTTGGGTTCTTTCAGCTTTTCACTATTGAAAAGAGAGCCTCTGTGAAATTCTTGTGCAAAAACACAGGAGCTAAATTTTGCCTTGGTCATATAACCAGGAGTGGAATTACTGATCCATAGGGCATAGGGATACTCCAATTGGCAGGAGAGTGCCAAATGGTTTCCCAAAATGACTGTTCCAGTAATCACAGGAGATCCCACCGACCCCCATCTCCCACACAAGGTAGCGTCAAACTTTTTCATTTTGCCATTTGAAGGCGCACTGAATGACTAAATGTTATAACAGTGGGGAAACAATGGATTGCTCACACTGATTCTCAAAAACTCAGTTCAGATGATGACTTAATCCGTGACCTGTAGCTCTCAACAATTTGAAGGCGCCTTAAAAATGCTGCAAAGAAGACAAAACCAAGAGGAGTCAGCTGCAATGTGGCCAAAATCTTCTCAAAACTAAGAAAGCATGCCATCTGTTGTAAATCACCATAAAACATAAATAGTTAAGAAGCAAAAGATAGAAACTCCCTTGATAAACCATATGTGTGTTTGCATTGAACCATAGTGTACACATTTTACGCTTTTCTTCTTTCTTAATAATATATTTTGCAATTTAAAAAAGGATAAAATGATCTTCACTTTATATTATACCCTCTACACAAAACAATTCAAATAGATTACAGAGTTTAATTTAAAATTATGAGGCCTGTACAAGAAATAGAAGGAACCATAAATGCTGATTGGCTAGGAAGTGCTTTTTTAGAGTATACAAGTAAAGGGAGAAACCATGAAGGAAAAAAGATTGAGGGCTTTTATTACATAAAAATGCAAAACTTTCTGTAGGCTGCAATGTTAAGTAAACGAAATATGAAGGCAGTCAACTATCCGGGGAAGATACATTGGTGACATAAGGGACATACCTTTCATGAATGTGTGCTGACAGCGTGGAGGCCAGACTCAGAAGCTGCTGATGTCATGCTGTTGTGGCCTTGGCGGGATTCGATTATAAGTGGGTATATGAGCTTCTAACTTCCTGAGTCTGGGTAGCCCTGCAAACGCTGTGCAGGGGACCGGCGGCGAGCTTATGGGGTCTCCCAGTTCTGATCTCAAAAACAAATCTTGGCACAAGGAAATAAGGTAGAGATCTACTAAATGCATGCATTTGGTGGAGGTGTGAGGGTGCAGTGCATTGGAGGGTGATCAGGGTTTGGAATCCTAGGGAGCAGGGGCTGCAGAATCATTCCACATTAGGAGTTTGGAAAGGGGTGCTTCATTTATTGCAGGTACAGGACCAAAGGCTTTCCAGAGCGTACAGAAATATTGGGGGTAAGAGAAGTCGCAGGAAGACCAGCTCCATGTTATAAAAGGAAATCTACAAAGTTAAGGTTGGGAAAGGAATTTCATAAAACGGACCAAATGTAACATTTAGTTGATCAGTCAAGCAACTTTAACTCAGTTAAATCTCTTCATAACTATATTTAAATGGGTTGTGGTTGCATCCACAACCCATTTAAATATAGTTATGAAGAGATTTAACTTCATATTTTGACCTGTTTGATGTGATATGATGTGAGGTCTCCATATATAAGCGTGTCCAGGGTGAACCAAAGTTTTTTTTTTAAAGGGCTCTTGACTGAGGAGGATGGTTGGACCAAATCGCAACACCGGCTACGGTTGACCCGTGAACAACACGGGATTGAACTGCTCGGGCCCACTTATACGCGGACTTTTATCAATAAATACACAGTTGGCCTTCCGTATCCCTAGGTTTTGAATCTGATTCAAACAGTCACAGGCTGAAAGAGTATTTTTGATCTGCGGTTGGGAATCCAAGGATGGGGAGGACCAACTGTATGTATTGTTCTACGCCATTTTCCACAAGGGACTTGAGCATCCCACGTGGATTTTCGACTGCTCGGAGCACCACTCACCCCTGTGTTGTTCAAGGGTCCACTGTGAATTCTTTCCAAGGACACATACTTTTCTTTTGTTGGGGTTCTGATCCACTCTGCCCTAAAGGGGGTGGCCTCCTTTGATTCCCATCAAGGTGATGAAATTCATATTAAATTAGGTGTGAAGCGTGGAGCCAAAGACTAGTGAAAGGATATAGCCTTACACTGCATCATGTCCAGTGTTTCTTTCATTAGATATAATGTTTCCCCTTTTCATTCACATGAAGGTGTTTTTCAGGAAAAGCAGCCATTCTGAAGAGGACCCAAGAGCAAGAAACTTTTGGTGAGTTACCAAAGAAGATAAAGGTAGGAGAGATTTGTTATATACTGGTTCAAAAGAGATCACAGGCTCAACATGGAGTCACTTGTGCTCGGCCCCGCGTCAGTAAACAAGTTTTACTACTTAACTGAATGGCAGTTTCAGCTTCCCGGAAATGTAACCTTTAACCAGGCAACATGAAAATGCCTGGAATTACCTGGTCAGCACTAGTAAGGCAATCCGGCCTGATAGGCCCCTTCTATCCCGAGAGGAGGGCAAGCTTCCTTTTCTACAGCTCGGTGGGGCTCCTCTCTACTAGATGGGATGCTGCCTGATTCATGAATCTGTCGATAAAGCCAATTAGATCTTTAAAATGTATCCAATGGAGATGGATTGGGGGGACCGCTTCGTACATTATGTAAATGTCTAACTACTATGCTGTACACTTGAAACTAATATAAAATAATATTGAATGTGAACTGTAATTGAAAAATTGAAAAAAATTAGAAGAAAAAAAAAAGGACCCAGTTGCATTTTGGCAATATGAAAAGCACCAGTGTTATGAACTGGTTGAGTTAAACTGTATTTTCATCTCTGGGGATGCCCAAATCTTATCGCTGTGGTATTTCTCTAGGGCAGGAAAACAGTGTTGTTACTGAACACATTTATTGAGTGCCTGCTATGTCCCGGCAGTGTTCTAGGAGCTGGGGATGCAACATAAACAAAAGAGAGATCCCTAGTCTCAGGGGAGGGACAAGACAGAAATTTCAAAGGCAAACATACACCATCTCAGATAGTGAGGAGAGCCTGGCAGACTTTGCCACATGGTGGCTGTCTGGTCTTGTTCTCAGCGACCAACTTCTCTGAGCCCAGCCGGTAAAATTTATCAAGGATGGGGAAAATGCGGTGTGCATGTCAGTGATTGTGACAGTTTATGAATGCACTGTTATTATATTATGAATTCTATGGATGTGATAATAACTTCCCCATGCCCCAAGGAAAACATAGTCCCGTCCACGGAATGGAGTCTTGGCACAGTTCCCGGCATTTATAATTAGGGATGGGATTTCAGACCCCGCCACGGAGCAGGCGTTGCCGATTGTGAGACTTCAGAGCATGCGCAATGGCGAGCTTCAGGTCCTCCATAAATTGGAGATAACGGTAGTGCTGACCGCTTAGGGTTTTTTGTTGATGTTGTTCAACGGACATTGACGGAACCACATTTATTGAGACACACTGACCCGTGTGCCAGACATGGTTCTAAACAATGGAAATAAATTTGTTCAACCCATGACAAACCAGGAAACGCGAGGTCTTTTTTAACGGCATTTTAAAAAAATGAAATGGGTTCGGGTGACAGGGGTTAATGGCATCACGTAAGTTTCAAGTGTACGTCTCTATAATACATTATCTGCATCTTGCATTGTGTGCTCACCGCCCAAAATATATGGTGATGGAAGGAGACGAGACTTTTAGCGGCATTTTGCAGCCAAGGAAACTGAGGCGCACAGGACGGACATCTGGAGTCCCACAGCTAGTGTTCCAACCCAGACTACGTGGCTCCAGGGGCTGGCAGTGGCGTAAAGCGCCCGGCCCGGGGCCTAGCACAGGTAACAGCTCGATAAATCTTTCCGGTGCTTGTCGTTGTCATCGGTTTTATCCGGGGTTTGCTCCAGAAAGTTCCCTTAGGAAGAGCTGAGGGTAGCCAGTTTGTTGGAAGGGGAAGCCAAGGCATGCTTGCCTAGCAAACCACAGTTTCCGTAAATTGGGGGGCCCGGAGGGACAGGGGATTGTAGGCTAGGGGAGTTAAGCGGGCACCTCTCCGCACCCCACTTTGCAGAGCAAACTACTAGAGTGGCAGCCGCTGAACTCCGCGCGCCCCTCCGGGAGCCGCCTATGAGCGGGTCGGCTCTGCAGCCTCCCCCTCCCTTTTGAGGCAGATGGTTTCTCCCGGCCTACCGGCGGGTTCCGGTTCCGCGCACGGGCGTCACAAAGCGCGGGGTCACGCGGGCGGGGTGCGCTTTGTGACGCGGCGGGCCCCGCCCCTCGGGCCGCCGCGGCGCGCACGCCGGCCACGCCCCGCGCGCGCCGCCCGTGCAGTTCCTGCTTAAGAGACCCCGGAGTGGGGCGCTCGCCGGGAGCCAGGCCGCGTCCGCCATAGTGCCTGGCTCGGTGGTGTCGCCGGCGCCTGGTGAGCGTCCGAGAGCGGCAGGGGGCCGAACAAAAAGGAAGCCCTTGCCGTCGCCCGGCAGTTCCCGGGCCTGTTCTCGCGGTTCGGGGCCGAAAAGCGACGGGAGCGGAAGGCGAGAGAAGGCGGAGCACACGGCGAGAGGAAGCGTCAGGGAGCCTCGGCGGCGTCGCCAGGGTCCGCCGAAGCCCCCCGGCCGCCGGCGGGGGCCCGGGGTGGTGAGGAGGCGCCTCGAGGCCCGGCGGAGGCCCGCTGCCGGCTTTGTGTCCGCGGCGGCGGCGGCGGCGGGGGGGAGGCGGAGCCGGGCGGCCTGCGGAAGGCCTCTCCTCCGCCGACCGCGCGTCTGGGCCTAGGCCGCGGCGCCCCGCGTGGCCTCGGCTGAGCGGGCGCCAGGGGCGTGTGGGGGGGCGGGGGCTGGGCCTGGGGACGCCGACGCCGGTCGTCCGGAAGCCAGGAGGAGGCGAGAGGCCGCTCGTGGACTCGGGCCCTAGGCCCGCTCCCCTCAACCTTCTCCCGGGGCCCGGGTCACCCCCGTCCACGGAGAGAGACCCACCGGGAGGTGCGGCCGCGCTATGGACCCCTGACCCCGCGGGGTCACCCGGACTCGTAACGTGTGGACTGACCGCTACTGACTGCACCGCCCGGCCCCCTGCCCCCCGCCTCCGGCCGGCCCTTAGCATGAGCGAGGGGCGCCCAGCCGGGTGACACTGTGCCCGTTGGCGGATCCTCCACGGCCCCGGCCCCGCCCTCGCCCGCCTCCTTGCACATGAAGCGCTTCTGAGTCTCGAGGGGTTCTGGATGATTGTCTCTGCGAACCCCGGCTTGTGGTTGGGGGGGTGCTGAGCCCGCGGCCCGCGGGCCCGCCCGCGCCTTTTGAGTGTTGTGTGTGTGTACATTGATTCTGCTCTTGAGTTGGTAAATTTACGTGTATTGAGCGTGCCCGCGTCTGCCCGCCGCGCCGCGGGCGTCCCCGGGCCACCATGTCCTGTGTGCATTACAAATTCTCTTCCAAACTCAACTACGACACCGTCACCTTCGATGGGCTGCACATCTCCCTCTGCGACTTAAAGAAGCAGATTATGGGGAGAGAGAAGCTGAAGGCTGCCGACTGCGACCTGCAGATCACCAACGCGCAGACCAAGGAAGGTAAGAGCCACGCGGACTCGCAGACCCGCTTCGGGGCGAGGTGCCGGGCAGAAGACTCACCGCCGTGACGGCCCTCGGACTGTTGGTTCTCACGCTTGTGATGCGCGCAGCGTGCGGCCCCGGGCTCGGCCTCCGAGGATCCTCGGTGCCCGGCCGCGCCGGGGGTTTGGGTGGGAGGGCGCGGGGGTGCCGCCCAGGTCCCCGGGGCGCTGTCCTCCCTCGGCTCTCATCAGGAGGAGGGGAGGGGGGCAGCACGCCAGGCCTCTCCGTGTGGAAGGACAATGGAGCTGCTGCTCGGCTGTGGGGCTTCCCGGCAAGCCGCGGGCCCCCCGTGTCCCCTCCCGCCTGCCCACCTGCCCGTGTAGCTTTGGAGCCGCCTGGGTGGAGGACGTCCCCAGCCAGGCCTCGGTGTTGGGGTTGCTTTTGGACAGGGGCGTGCGCTCCGGAATTAGCGCCACAGCGAGCAGGTGCGCTCAGCTTGTCACGTTCCTCTTAAAATGTGGCGACTGACTAAGTGCCGGAAGTGCAGGGTTTTCTTTTTCTGAAGCAGTCGTTGCTAGACTTGACATAGTTCTGTGGAGGCCGCTCCCAGGGTACTGACGGACAGACAGACAGGAGGCTGCTGCCCGTAGTGCTTACCCACAGGCCACTGGCTGGAATCTTTCAGTTCTGTCGCCTTTTTAAAGGCATTTTATAATGTTTAACGCTAGAGATGAAAATGTGGCAGACAACCTTTTCAGTCTTGACCCTGAACTTGTTTTGGTTTCTTTTTCTCGGGATTGTCATGCTGATGTGCAGTTTTCTGTAGGTCGGTCTTGAGTTTTATCGATGGCATGAGAAGAAATAAAGTGAAATTCTAACTAGGTTATGGTATTTTCTTGATCACTAAATTTGGCTTACGGTGACATGGGTTCTTTTAATTGAAATGGGGGTGGGGGCACTTGTAGCCTGTTAGGTAGAGTAAATCTTGTCATGAAAAAGAGCTGTTTTCCATTTAAATCCAGGCATAAGTGTAATTGTATTGTGATGAGAAACAGCACCACTGCCAGTCACAACTCAAAAACGTTCATTGAGGGAGACCTTTATTTACTCACATGATATTACATGAAAGAATATTCCTTCCTTCTTTTAAAAAAAGCGTCATACCTAAGGGACAGTTCATGTGAGTTGGCCATCGTAATTATGTGCAGCATCCCTCTACTTAAGGAGAGGAACCATTGGTGGTGGTCATGATCAGTTGAGAAACAGCTTTTTAAAATAATCAAGAAAATACCTTAAGGGAAGTCTTTCTTTAAGGTCACCAAAAGTATCCTATCAGGATTAGAGTCAGACGTCACAGAACAGATAGATTTATAAGAATGTCAGGCCATTTTGATGTGGTAATGATACGTAATGAATAAAAGAAAAGAAAACCTAAACAGAGTTAGAGAATATTAATGCAATCTTAATCATATACTATGCAAGTTTCATATTTTACTGGAGTATTACGTGATTTAATCATTTGGGGCTAGACTTTGTCCAGCTTTTCTATGTAATAATTGAATACAGCTTTGTTAGGCTTGGAGTAAAGTTGATGGAATTCTTGTCCACAAATTTAGGAGTTCTGTGACGTGTTATTTTTTTCTAAGCCAGGAAATTACATGATACATTATTTTGACAAACCCTGAAATTTAGGGAAATGCTTTGCCCAGCGGCATATTTTCTTGGACATATTTGTGTGAACTGCCCTTGTTGGAGAAAGCTTTGATGTTAGATTGGTTAAGAGAAGGGGCTTCAGGGGAGAAAAGGCGCATTGTATGCAACTCAAATTAGGGGCGTTAGTGCAAGAAGGTAGTCCCTTAATGAGTATGTGGCGAGTGTAGCATCCAGTGTCACAGGGCAGCTGAGTAAGAATGCCACCCGGTGTTAGCACCATCCAGTGAATTAAAGAGCACAAAATACATGTTTGTTGCTTCCCAGTTAGGAGATTACTTAGGAGAGAACGCTGAACTGGATCACTTTAGTTACTTTAAATTAATGTTTACCCTTAAATCTTGATTAGATTAAAATGCTTGGATCAGAATTTCATGTTTTAGATGTTAAGAATCCTGCTTCTTTATTTCTAGACTATATTTAAAAATGAATCTCAAATAATCTTTCTATGTTTTTCCTATGTAACTTTCCTATATAAACTTGTTTTCCTACTTTTCTGTCCCCCCTCCCCCGCCAAAAAGAAAGAAAGAAAAACCTTCATTCTGAACTTAGTGGGAAAGATTTGGAAGCTGAGGAGATTTGGAAGTATTTTTAAAATACTCTTTCATCTTGTTTTTCATTCTGTCCATGGTCTTCATGTTTTGGGATCAAAAATTACACTGGCACATAACAAGGGTCTTCTGAATCTAACAGTCTACTTATTAAAGAGATATTTATGTGTAGGAAATCATCAGTGTAATTCAGGCACTCAAAAGTGGAAAGGTCACTTAGAGCACCTGGCATCAGGGCACCTAACTTAGTTTGACTCGGCACTGTGCTGATATAAATTAGTAAGTTGTCCTGAAAAGCTACTGTGAACACATTTGGTGTTGGTTCCCTCACTTCTGATAGTTGTTACACATTCAGAAACCATCAGGTGTTTGACACAAAGTTTTGTTTCTAGAATTTAGTTTCTAAAGAGTCCTCACCTCTCCTGCTCCCAGTTGTTCTTACTCAGAGCTTGCTTGGAATTTGGGAATGTCTGAACTATGCGAGGTGATGATAGCCTTACACTGGTATGTCAGAGCCTAGGAAATTGCATCACTCAGTGGATACCTGTGCGATAAGCCCACGACTGAAAATGCACTGGAAAGAACCCTTTCCTGAACAATTTAGTTCTAACAGGAAGTACAAATATGTAAGCTGAAAATACTTAGAAATGTGACACGCTTGAAATAATTGGAAGAACAGAGCGAGTCAGCCACTTGGTACTGAGTGAAGTGGAGCAAGTCAATTCCTAATATCCAGTTGTGATTAAGGGAGATCTCTCTCCCTGTAGTGGTTAATTCTCTTTGGTAATTTTACAAGTTCCTTGCTTAGCAACTCTTTAGCATAAATTCATTGGTCCAGTTTCTGTTTTAATTTCATTCTTACAGTAATAGAAACACAGGATCTAGTCATCCTCTCCGTCTGTCTTCTTAGAGTGACACCCCCGTTCATCCAGCTGTTTAAGCCAGGAACCCAGAAATCCATGCCTGATTCCTGTTTCTCCTTCATTCCTCCCCCCCCAAACTCAGCTCATCCACAAGCTTTATGGGTTCCACCTCAGAACATTGCAAGTCTGTCCTTCTGTCACACCTCAGCACAGACCTCACTGTTTCCTGCCTGGATCACACTGTTGGTATTTTTTGCCCCTGATAGGTTCATTCTCCATGTAGATACCAAAGCTATCGTTTTTTGTTTTTTTACCATAACCATATTGTCGTCATTTTTGTTTAAAGTCCTTCAGTGATTTCCTGCTGTACTTAGAAACGAAATATAAACCAATGTATGCTCTGTACCTTTCTACCTGTGTGTCAGGTCATTGTATTTTCTTCAGCTGCATTTTTCCAAATGCTTTTCGCTCTGACGCTCTTTCCAGCCTTTTTGCACATCTGCCTGGCTTTTCAGTCTTAAGTCTCAAATAACAGGTCCTCACAGAGGCCTTCCTTGAATCGACATTCCATCCAAAGTTGCATCCCGTTTTTATTGGGTTGTCGGAAAAGTCATGACCCATTTTTGCAACGAAAAACAGAAAAAATACATCATGACTTTCCCGACGACCCAATAATTCTTTATTACAAAATCCCTTTTTTCTGCTTTCAAAACATGTCATAATTTAATTTCTGAGTCTGTCTTTCCCAGAAACATCTTTAGGGGCTAGGACAGCCAGAATTTCTTTGGTATAAATAGCTGTTTTTCGTAGTTCAGATGTTCAGCATTAACTAGCTAAATAAACTAGAGAATAACTTAGTCTTACTGAGATTTGGGGTTCCACCAAAGTGTAGGTGCCAGAGCCAAGAACCAGCTGACACTCTGGTGTCCTTGAAGAGACGGATAATTGTTCTGACAGTGTAAGCTAGATCAAAGCACAGGTAGTTCTTAATGCTCTTTCATCTTTCAGTTCATTTCCCATTAAATTTGCGTTTGGCTGAAGTTCTCTGATTCTTGAGGACAATAATCCAAATCCCAAAACAGAAATCCAACTCTATTGTTTTATTTACAGAATACACAGATGATAATGCTCTAATTCCTAAGAACTCATCTGTGATTGTTAGAAGAATTCCTATTGGAGGTGTTAAATCTACAAGCAAGACATATGTTATGTAAGTATTCACCAAATTTCACGTGTTTAGCTTCTCAAAATCAACCTGTGTGTGTGTAAGAAAGAACAAGTGGGTTTCAGAACTGAACTCATTACTTTACCCTAATGAATCCATCTTAGGAATCCTTAAAACCATGAAGATGGGGTGATTTTTTCCTGATTTCTCTCCCCAGTTAAGTTACCTTAACTTGTAGTTAGGAAGAAGCCTGGCTCTATAGGTCATGTTTAGAAAGCGAAGAACATGATGTGCAAACAGTGAACGAATACTTCTGTACCCTGCGTTTGTTTTTATTTGCCTACGTGAGTGTCTTAAGAGATCTGTGCTGAATATTCAGACAGCGTCCAGCGTAGTTGGTGATGCTGACATTTGCCCCCCTTGCTAAGAAGCTTTAGTTGGGAGGCTACAGAGTTTATATGGTTTATAAGCCCAGACACTGGCATTGGACTTTGTTTCCACTCCACTACCCGTTTCACATCAGTTATGTCTGTGCCTCATGTTCCTCAAAATAAAATAGGGGTATGAAAACTTGAGAGAGTTGCAAGAATTAAACAGTGCCTGACACGTGATAAATGGCCATTATCGGAGTAAGAAAACAGCAACATCTTAGAACTAGTCTAGAGCTTAAGAAATTCAGTAAAGGGGCAGAACCAACATTTTATATCTTTAACTTTCTCTGCTTTCTTGCAATTTTAGCGGTGATATCAGAATTATAATATGTGAAAAAGAAAAATAAAGGAAAAGATAGCAGCCTGGGTTATTTAAAGGGTAGTGCTTTCCCCCCAGAAGTTAGGTAACCTTATTTGAAATCTTGGCAAATTCTGCTTGTGGTTAATGAAAAACTGGAATTTGCTGGCCCTAGGAAATGGAGCGTGTATTCTTGGAATGGAGGTAGAGTCGTTTCTTAGAGCTTTACCTCCTGTGGGCAGGTATTCATTCTAAGAGTATCTCATTTGCTGTAAAGTTAGGTTCCAAATGTTAAGGTCCTTTTGTGTCATAGCTTCTGTACAGTAACGACTTACAAAGCTGAGAGCTTTTTTTTTTTTTTTTTGCTGTACGTACCAAGTGAACCACGTACTTTTTAACTTAATGTAATGTTAAATTATAAGGGAAAATTAATTCCTACAATCTAGTGTGAAATTACACTTTACCAAGTGCCTTTTAAAACATTCAGTTTCAGTAGATTTTCTGATATACTGAAACTCTTGGGGAGAGAATTATTGGAAGTACATGGGAAAAATACATTGCATGTTTATTCACTCTGTATGATTTCCATTGAAATGTATTTGCCTCATAAAATGGCTTTGAGTTTGTTGAGCAAATACTAGAAAATGAAGACTTCGTTTTTGTCTCAGGACCTCCAAATCCTGCCCAAACCTAGGAACTGTCAGGTGCGCTCTAACATTTCCCTAAGGTCAGGATAGTATAAACTTCAAACTCAGCGTTTAAAGGCTATATTTAGCAGCCCAACGCCTGGCCTGTTTCCTGTGTGGACTTTTAAAGGAGTTTCTTGGGCTTATTTGTATGTCGTTTTTTACAAATCAGTTTTTACAAATCAGTTTTTTCCAATTCTCCATAACCATTTAACTCATTCTTTTTACTAAAATACTCTGTCAGACTGTGTTGCATTATTTTTCTGGTTAGAATTCTTGTTTAATCTTTGGTCATTGTTTTGAGACTTTTTAAAGTAACTATTGAAGAGTGCATAAATTTAAAAGCAACGTCAATATCAATAAAATATTCTTCAAATTTAAAAAAATTAACCTGTGTTTCTGGATTTGAAGTTTAGTTTTTGGAGCACAGCGATTTCTCTGGGATCCAAATTATAAATGTTATGGTCTTGCTTTGAGAAAATCTGATGTATAAAAATTTACATCTGTACCTATTTAAAAAGTGGGAGATAATATTTAATTGTTTAGTCTGTTAAGAAATAACCATAAAGTTTCTTAACATAACAAAATCCTCATACTGCCTTTTCAGAAAACATTTATTGTAGTGGCAATGTACACCTATTTTAGAATTCCACAAATGCATCATAATGTAGTATATTCATTATTTTAGAAATTGGCTGTTTTTATTTATTTATTTATTTATTTTAAAAAGATTTTTATTGGGGAATTGGGGGATGGGAACAGCGCTAGGAAATTGGGGGAAGGGGAACAGACAAGATGCTGTCCTTTTGTTCTTCAGTCTAGTTGAGGAAGACGTTGCTTCACTGGCCCAAGTTGGCACCATCATTGCGCTCTTCCCCGTCAAGGCAGATCAGTTGCCGGCTTCTGGACAGCCGCTCATGGTGGCTGCTGGCTGCTCACGCTGGCTGCTGGCTACACACGGTAGCNCTCACGCTGGCTGCTGGCTACACACGGTAGCCCATGGCAACCCACTGCCACAGGGGCTGCAGCCTACACCGTCGCCGGCAACTCACGGCAGCCCAGCTCCAGGTTGAGCTGTTGTTCAGCATCTTAGCTGTAGAGGGCAGTTTCACTGGCCCTCATGTGGGATCCGAACCGGGGCCCTCTGGCGTCCCAAGCCAGATCTTAACCAACGTGCCACTCGGCCGTCCCGAAATTGGCTGTTTTTAAATCTTTGTGCGAAGGGAAAATTATTGTCCTGTCAATGTGTGTTTGGAGATCTGTATTAAGATTTTTTATTTTTTATTTTTTACTTTTTATAAGAGTTTATTTGAGCTCAACTGATGGCATACGCTGGGGAGCAAGATCTCAAATGTCCCTGTATTAGATTTTTTAGCACAAAAATTCCTAAATAGCTGCTCACAGAACTAATGTTCTTTTTGTTTTTGTTTGTTTTTTAGAAGTCGAACTGAACCAGTGATGGGAACTTCAAAAGCAGTATGTAAAAACACAATCTCACACTTTTTCTACACATTGCTCTTACCTTTATAATGTAGCAGAGTGAAGTGAATCACTTTAGAACTTAATACCCAACTGATCCTAGTGCATATTGTAAATAAAATGTATGTTGATGACAGCTCAGTTGAATCTGGATATATGTGGCATAATTTGCACACTTATTTTGTAGAAATGGGTAATTTGTGCCCGAACAACATTGTTTCGTATTCAATATGCTAGCACTCCTGTATGACACTGCTATACAGTTACTGTACGATCCTTAGATCATGTAGGTTTACAGTAATGAACATGACAACATGTTCTACATCTGTCTGTCTGTAGTTAGTATTTTGTATGTATGTACATACAGGCTGTTGTGTGCTTTTTGTTTCTTGCAATAAAAAATGTTTGGAGTGTATATTTTGCCATTTTCACGTTGTATCACTTAGTTTTTGTTAGATTTTTTTTTCTGCCTAATTAATGGCTTTGAACAGTGCATTAGCAACATGTGAAGCTCATGTTAAAGTCTGATGCTTTCTCCAAGTCCAGACCCCTCGTAGGAAAGAGCTTTCCAGGAACCATTGATGCAGCTATATTATTTCATTTTGCTTTATTTGGCAATTTTGAGCTCTATTTCTGTTTATACCCATACTATAAAGTGAAATGGGCCTCCCGTTAGTATATCAATGTCTTCTCGATGATTTTCTATAATTGAGTACATTGTTTTCAAATTTTAATGCAAGGTCTTTCACTTCTAGCTTGCTTACTTGTCCAAATTAAAATACTTCCCTTTCTCCTAAGGGGTTAGAATGCTACATTTATTGTAAGCTCATTGAAAGCTGTATTTTATCAAAGACCACTCCCCTTCATGAGGGTGCCATCCTGACTTTTATCCCAGACTACCCTTAAGAAGGACACCACTTTGACCTTGTGCTCTCCAGTAAAGGTAGTGGAGCTGCCTCAGGTGTGGCATGAGACGTGTGATTCTGAGCACAGGGCTGCAGCCATCGGTTCTGTAAACTTGATGTTCTCCGCACATCTGACTGCTCAGGCGTGATTTGTACACAATACAAGATGTCTGAAATCTTGTTTTAGAGTTCAAGGGTATTGCTTGCTGTTTCACTTTATCCTTTTTAAATACTACTGATCTTTAATTATGTATCAGGCATTTCACTAACCTTGGATCATTGGTTCTTAAACATGATAACATAGAATATCTGAACTTGGACTTGTTCTCTAAAGTATATGGTCTTTAGTTCCCATGGAACTAAATATAGGATTCCAGAACTCGTAGTGTCTGGGCTTGGTTTGGTTTTTTTTTTTTCCCTCTTTTGGGGTACTTGGGTGTTTTGTTTTTTTTCTTTCTTTTTTTAAGGCATAATGCTGTAAAAACTGTCCAAATTTCTGTTTTGCTGGTGATTGGTTTAAAACTGATTTTTATGTATCCAAATGCTAGCACAAAATAGATTGACTGCCCTGGTGACTGTAGTAGTTAATGTGACACGTTTTGTATAAAGTACATTTTATATAGTATTTAAACTAATTCAGCTGAAGTTTTATTTCTTGAAAACAGTTATTTCCTTTTTGTTTATTAGCATGTGTATAAACACAAATCACATGTTCATAAATAAAGTTAACATTCTTTTAGCCTTGTGTGTTCCCTGGCATGTCTGTATTACACTTATAAGAAGCAGTTTATTTTACGCTTATTTAGGTTTCACTTTTCTTTTTTTTTTTTCTTTTAGTGCTTTAAAAGTGGCTTTAATTTTTAGATAGAATTATCTGAAATGGAGACATTAGATAACTTATTATCCCCATTGTTTATTTGCTTGGCCTATTTGCTGACACTTGGCATGAGAGAGAAGGGATTCATCAAGTGTAATTTGTGCCCATCTTGGGAGACCTCAGAGTCACGTGGATTGTATCCATTCACAAAAGCCAAGTAGGGTAGAGCCGCGAAACCAGATTGTCAGTTCTGATCTGTAAAAGTCAATGTGTGTACATTTTTGGTAACCTGGCCAAACCAGGATGGCTGTTCTGTCTGCACTCTCAGCTTTTTACTTAATCGTCCTCCCACATGGGACTCGAGCTGGGTGCTCTCCCTCCTGACTGAACCTCAGAAGTGAACTGTGTAGGACCCTTTAATTTCACGCAAGAGTATCTGGCACCAAAGAGCCCAGATTCTTGCTCCCGGAAGCAGGACCACAACTACAGTGAGCGTTGGTCAGTTGTGAAGACTGCTTTTTTTTAATGTAGTGGATTTTTTTTTTATATCAATAGTAACCTGAGAGTTACTGTATTGTGTTTAGTACATATAAGTTTCTAGTCATTTCTACACCATTCCTTGTCAGCATTTTTTACCTATTTCTTAGTACCTTGCTATATGTAGAAAACAATTGTTATGCCCTTGTAAATTTGTGGTAAATTTGACTTCCTTGTGGATTTGAAGGTATTTAGGTGCTATGGTGATAATTTGGTGGGGAGAAAAAGTGATTTAGTTGTCATTGAATATCTGAAACCACTTTCAACTCAATAAGTATTCGATTACTAGTAACAACCTGGCAAAAACGTGAAAGGCAAAGACAAGAAAGCCAGCCTGGCATGAGAACAGAGAAACCGGCTGTATCTTAAGGGTTAGTGGGAAGGACAGGAATGTTAGTTTTTTGGTTCCAGCCTCAAGAAAGTTAATATAACTGATTGCTTTCTAAGGAAATGATCCGTTACATAGTCTAGATAGTAATGGACTGTTTTTAAAGGCTGTCAATTTGTTTCATTGGTCAGAAACAGCATAGATGAAGGTTGACAGCAATTTACTCAGTTCTTGTTACTTAAAACAATTCCTGGTTGATGTAAACTGTGACCCTTTTCAGAATAGATTGAAGAGGTCAGAATTCTGGATAAAAATAGGATTCTTTCAAAAATTTTTTTATTTACCCCTGGAGATTAGTTCTTTAAGTGAAAGCTGGGCAGCAGTGAGCAGCCGTTGGTGGATTCTCTGGTTATGTGTTAGGAACGTGGGATTAATGCATCATGAACTCTGTTTTCGCTCATGTGCAGCCAAGAGCCTTTTGTTTAAATAAGCATCCCAGTAATAATATCCATCAAACTAACTTTTAAAAACTTAAGATATTTATAAGAGGTATTCTAAATTTAGCCAACATGGTTTTCATTTGCATTTATTGAATTCCTCCTGTGGTGGGCACTGTTAAGAACTTCACATTGAAACTTGTCCCATTTCTAGTTGGGACTCTTAAGTCATGCTGCTTTTAATACTCTTAGTTCTCTGGAATGCTTGGAAAATACCTGAAGACTCACACCTTTGTGTTTTTCTTCTTTGATCCAGACATCTTGTTACAGTCTCTCTGTGAATAAGAATTCTGACCGCTAGTGCATGAGAGAGTTTATAACATGCTGGATAAGCAGCCCACTGCCTGCATAGGAAGCGAGTCATGTTTTCATTTTGGTCCACGTGTAGGGAAATTGTATCTTCAGCTACATGTGCAAGTGTGTATGTACACACACACACACACACTTTTTAAAAACATGAAAATCGTGTCAGGAGACCAACTAATGAAGAATTTAAGAATGTCACTTTTGAAACCACATTTTTGAAGCTCTCTTCCATCCTTCGGATATAATCCTTGCCCCTTTGATTAACGTTGTGTTCCCACCTCCTGAAGCCATCTTCCCGCATACCCGCCCTGCTTGCCCTGCCCCAGGCCACCTGCTGTTCCCACTTTTGTTTGGCTTCACATCTTTGCCTTGATAAAGCCGTGCTTTCTTTGGCAAGAAGCCTCTGTTACTCTCTGTATGGGAGAAGAAACATATTTACTCAGACGGAGCAATACATGCTCAATAAAAGGAAAAAAAAGGGCCCCTTTTGTGGGAGTTCTTTTATCAAAGCGATTATCGGAGCCTGTAAGAGCTGCTTGTTCTCCCGGGTTAGGCCCTGGCATTCCAGGAGCCAGAGTTCTTATTCTCTCTCCTGTCCCTTGTGTTGAGCATCATCAAATGTAGAGACCGGTGACAGACAGACACAGGGCTCGCTTTCGGTCCCCACTCTGAGCAGAGTACCTGTGATAACTTCTGTCCCCTCTTCGGTGTGATCGCGTTCCCTCAGCTGTCAGCCTTGTTACTGTATGAAGTACGTAGGGAGAGATAAGGGAGGGAAGCTACGCGTTCAGCTTGAGAACATTCCTTAGGAAACTAAAAGCGCCCAATGTGTAAGCATTAAGTGGCATTAGGGACTAAATGATCACTTAGAGATGTTGTCACTGTGGAACTTGAATGTGTGTTTAATTTTTTGTGAACAGATTGATGACTCTTCTGCGTCTATTTCTCTGGCCCAGCTTACAAAGGTATATATACATATATTCTTGAAAATATAACTTTTCTTCTAACATCGTATTTTTTTAAGTGGAACAGCTGTTTTGAAAGGGGTTGGGGGAGGAGATATTTTGCAGAAACGTTGTACATATTATTACTGTCCTGTAAAGAGTAGGTGCGGTTTTGAGAAGATAGGGGGAGTATTTTGTCAGCCTCCCCATAATGTTGGAGTATTTTCATCTTCAAGACAGAAGAAACACAGGAAGCTACACTTACTCGTTTTTTCCCCTCATTCATTTTGTTTAATTATACATTGGAAACTAACAGTTCTGGAGGAATTCCCTGGTTTTGGCTGTAAATTATGTGGACTTTCTTTAAGCAGCCAAGTAGAAGCTTCCCTTTACACGGACGATTGCATGGTTCTTTCTTGAATATTTGAATTGAACCCATGATGGTCAACATTTTAAATGTGATACAATTGCTTCTTTATGCTCTAGACTTGTAGTCTGTCTGCATTAGAAGAAGTTTTAAACAACCTAATTTGTTTGAACACAGACTACATGAATTATGTAATGTGTAAAGCTGTTTGCAGGAATATACCATGTGTGTGTCTGGCAAAGGGCAGATTGTCACTTCCGGAAATCACTGTATATGCCATGTTTGCTATAAGATCGCTTGCATTTTCTGCTCAACAATGTGTATTTTTTTGTTGCAGAAAGCACTAGTGATGGATTAGTTTTTAAAACAATGACTTCAGCTTGCACGTCGTGCCTTTAAAAAAAGAAGCAAATATTACAGAATAGGCCGATTTTTGAGGGCCAAGAAGGAAGTCTCCCCAAATCCTTTTTTCCCCTACTGTCAGAAATGTGAAAGCGCACGTAAGCAACCGAGATGAATGAGTTGCTGGGTTTCCCATTAGTGCTGTGCCTCTCTTCCTTGGCTGTGTTACAGGTTGTGCCCCCTGTCCTAGAATGTACCTCAAAATGTCCTAGTAACAAATGCAGCTTTTAATTTTAAGCTCCTGTCCTGGGGAAACTAAGCATTAAAGCCGATGACTCTAGAACATACAGCAGGCTAAAACCATCCTCTCCTAATTTCCTCACGCAAATGGGTTGGCACAGAGGTGCCATCGTTAGCAGTTTATAGTTCACTGTTGGAACTCGTATGTACTGTAAGGACCACAGTCCTACCTTGTTGCTTTGTGGGAAGCAGCTGGGGAGCTTCGGAGGTATGCGGGATTTTTTCTTTTCCAGCTATTTGTAAATTAATGTTTGGGTTCAAACAAATTAGTTGTTCAACATCTGTAATCCAGTTTTCTGTAAATGTTGCTGTTGTTCTAAGCTCTGTTAATGTTAAGCCTTCTTTGTATATAAAATTACAATAAAATGTTAAAACTGGTTGCTTGTTTTGTGGATGAATGTAAAGATAAACCTCAGTGAGTGGCTGATATGAGTGCTAGATGCTTGAAGATTCGAGGTATTAGGACTCACTCCCTTAGACCCTGCTTATATCTAGACTATTGTAAACAAAGTCCATAAAACTTGGAGAGTTGGATTTAAAACCACGAACTCTCAATGCATGTGCGTCGCACTTAATTTGAAACTGACACTGTTCCCTAAAGAGCCTCTGGTTTTTATCACCTGCTGCATAACGTGTTCAGTTATTTTACCCCCAACCCTACCTCCAACTTGTGAGTATCAATCACAGTCTTGATGCTGTGACACTTGAATTATATTTAAGGTTGAAAAACATCAAGTGTTTCTCTCCTAACTTCATCTCAGCATTTAACTCCTAGGGGAGTATATGCAACTCTTGACACAAGGTACAAACAGGGTCTAAGGTTTGAGTGCCCCCAGAAAGACTTTCTCCAGCCCGCAGACACCCAGACACCAAAGGAGCTTCCAGGGCCTCGTCTAGGTTATGCCTGTCAGTACCTGTTTTTAGGCCAGATTAGGTACGGCGCTTTGCAGGGCGAGTGGTGTTGTCTTGGGCTGTGTGGTCTTAAATGTGTTTCTAATGTGTGTGTCAAATAATTACCTGTTAAACAGACCGCCAATCTGGCTGAAGCGAATGCTTCTGAAGAAGATAAAATTAAAGCGATGATGTCGCAATCTGGCCATGAATACGACCCAGTCAAGTAAGTTCAGAAGCATTTTCTACTCATAGGCCCTTTGGGGTGCATTGCCCCCCCCATCAGAAGCATTGTTTATGTACATGTAATTTTTTCTCCTTTGCAGTTACATGAAGAAACCGCTTGGCCCACCACCTCCATCTTACACCTGTTTCCGGTGCGGTAAACCTGGCCACTATATTAAGAACTGCCCGACGAACGGGGTAAGTCCACAGTACAAAGTATGGCCCACCTTGCTTCTCTTACAGTTAATTACATGTTAGCCATATTACTTATCTCAGTCAGTCCTGCCGTCTCTAGTCCAGTGGCAAGTGACCAGAGCCTCGAGCCAGTTGCCAGGCTTCAGGTCCTGGCTGGTTCTGCGCTTCATAGCTGATTTCTCCAAGCCTGTTGCTTTTCCCTGTGACGTGGGTTCGGTAGTAGGACGTAGCTCACACACCTGGCTGCTGTGGGGTGAAAGGAGATGGCGTGTGTCACGCAGCACAGACGACATAGGTGGTTAGGGAGCTGCGTGTGGCTGATGTAAAATAATAAAGGTAACTGCTGCTCCTCTCCCACCTTCCTCTCCTCCCGCCCAACAGGATAAGAATTTTGAGTCTGGTCCTAGGATTAAAAAGAGCACTGGGATTCCCAGAAGTTTTATGATGGAAGTGAAGGATCCGAACATGAAGGGCGCCATGCTCACCAACACTGGGAAATATGCAATACCCACCATAGACGCGTAAGTGCTCGGTGGAGGTGTGACCCGTGGGGACCGCGTCGTGTCTCATTACGCCTCGGGCTTGTCACGTGGCTACTTCTGTGTTGTGAATGAGAGGCTGCAGTCTGCTCCATTTAAAGCAAATTTAAGTGGATTTGGGGACTTTGATTGTCAGTGAGAGTCACTTCCCTTGTAGTCTTCCGATTTTTTCTTTTTCTGTCATTCCCTGCTTTCTTCCTTATTCATGCCCATACTCCCACAAAATCTTACACGCTACTTGCACTTCTAAGAGAACAAGGCAGTTATCTTAATCATTTTGAGGAACGAGACTTAAGAATAAAAGTTGCAAGATGTTCGGGCAGATTTAAGTGCCAGGAAGAGAGGTGCTGAGCTGAGGCTTAAGATTCTGTGTGAATCTTAGGAGTCTGAAGCATGGCTCGCTTTGTAAGCCTTTGCTTCAGACCGCATGTAGCACTATAGGCCATCCTTTAATGCTTATTTTTCATGTGTTTCCAGATTTTATTTTAGAAGCCAATTTTTAGTGAAATGGGTAGACATGAAAACCGAATAGCACAGTCCAGCCAGATAGCTTCCCATTTTATCTGCTCTTCCTGATACTTCCGAGTCCCTTCTTTGTGCCCCTCAATAGCTGTGGGCTCACATAACGCACACCACGGCACTAAGTGTTCTTTGGACTCTGGTTCTCTAACATGATAGAGAATAAGAATGTCGTACAAAATTGTGTGAAATGGGCTGGTCCCGTTCCCCAGAGGCTACATGACAGCACCCTGAGCTGCATTTTTAACGGGTCCTCCAGAGGTGGTGACGTTCCCTCGAGAAACATCGGTTTAGAGGATAGGTGCCTGTGCCATCAGTGCCCAAACGAACGCCACGAGAACTGTTTTCGCAGCTTCGCCTGGGTTGCAGAAACGCAGTGCGGTGAGCCGGCCGCGCTGTGGGGCCCATGCGGAAACGCTTTAGTGTCTTGCAGTGTGTGTTGTAGTGAATACCTGGTTGTAGCTCACACATAAGATTCCTGTTTCCCTAAACGTCCCCCTGCTCGCCCGCTCTGTCACCGTCACCCCCGCCTGTCCCGACCATGTGTCTGTGTGGCTCATCCTGGCGCAGCCTGTTGTTACGCTCCTGATTCAGACGTCTCATACGTGCTTCCTTCCAAACAATTTCAGGTCGAAATTGATGATTTTTACAGACACAATATAAGAGCAGACCGCTTCATCTTAATATAATAATAGAAATAGAAATTTGTGTTGGAAAATTAGCCTGACTGGTGAACCCTCACTAATAATTAACTTGATTGCTTTGGAATGCTGAAATACAAAAAGCCCGTTTGTACCGAACACACAGCCAATGCTGGGGAACGGGAGCCGAATATTTTAAATGAAGCCTCGCCCTCCCCACCAACACCCCTGAGACGCGACTCAGACTCTTCTTCTGTTTCTTTTTCTATCCTCTCTCCTCCTCTTTTGTTTTCTTTTCTCTCTCTCGGGCAGTGGGAGACTCCTCTTTCACAAATTGGGAACGGTGGGGCATAAGCAAATTGACACTTATTTCTGGAATCGTGGTGATGTCTATGGAGCAACTGCAGCACAAATTACACAGCTAAGGTACCTACGCTGTCCAGCACTGGCCCTCGGGCCGTGGAAGGCCGCCTCCGGGGTGCCGTCGCACAGCTTTTCCTGGTTACAGAGGGGGAGGTGGGCAGCAGTGAGACGAGGCTGAGAATAGCACGTTTTGTTCATTTTGAGTATATTTAATATCCAGCATTTCTGCAAAATGCATTTGTACAAAAAAATAGACCCAAATGTCTAATGAGATGTTAACATTAAGTTTTTGTAACACATAGTCTAATCGTTTATGTAAAAATCGACTATAAATAGATAAATCTCTTTTAGAATACTAATTATCACTTGAGCAGAGGCTTTGAAGTCTAAATCTGGCTGCTGATATTGCTGTGGCTGGTGACATTCCCCTTAATTGTACCTAGATTAGCCTCCTATGTTACGGCATTCACTCTGAGCCCTTCCCAGGTGTGGAGTGTGGGGCCTGTTAGACCATTGGAGGGGAATTTTTTCTCCAGGAAACCTGGGCGGGCAGGAGAAATGTGATCGGGGTGTTGCCATGTCTGAGCTGAAACCCTTCTCTGTCACTGACTAGAGCTTTGTGGCAGGCGCTGTGTCACATTACCTCCCTGGCCCTCGTTCCTGGGCTTAGCAGCAATTCTAAGATTTTTAGCCACTTCTATAGTATCTCTGTTTCTTTTCGTGATATTTGTGGAGGGGCTTGTTTTATGTCTGCTGTTTAGAGAGATATGCTCCTAATTGCTCCCTTACTTTGGAGGGTGTTACCCCTGTGTCAGCTGATGATAACTTGTGGCCCTGTGTTCAGTGATGAGTCCCCACTGTGGTGCAGTAGAACATGTGAATTTCTTGGAAATACTTGGCCTGCTTGCTTAGTAGTGTGAAAACGCTCACACCTTCTCTTACAGAGAGGCATATGCAATTGGGAAGAAAGAAAAGCCACCTTTCTTACCAGAGGAGCCGTCGTCTTCCTCTGAAGAGGATGACCCGATTCCAGATGAGCTGCTGTGTCTCATTTGCAAAGATATCATGACAGATGCAGTCGTCATCCCCTGCTGTGGGAACAGCTACTGTGATGAATGTAAGCCGCGTGAGCCTTCCGATATGTGCGCGGCTGACCCTTGAACAACGTGGGGGTTGGGGTGCCGACCTCGCCCCTGCCCCACCCTGCAGTCAAAAATCCATGTATAACATTTGACATGCCCAAAATAGCCTCCTGTTGACTGGAAGGCTTACCAATCACATAGATAGTCGATTAACACGTATTTTGCATGTTATATGTGTTACATACTGTGTATTCTTAAAGTCAGCTAGAAAAAAGAAAAATGTTATTAAAATCGTAAACAAGAAAATACATTTATAAATATGTATTTATTGGGGGGAAATCACATCTAAGTGGACCTGTGCGTTTCAAACCTGTGTTGTTCAAGGGTCAGCTCTTCTACTTGGAAAGGCTCCTAGGAACAGTGGGTACTTCAGTAATAAAATATGAAATGTTGATGATAGAGCACATAATAGCGAGAACTCTGCTTTTGTTGCTACTTTACAAAAACAAAAAAACCCAGCCTCTTTGTCCCTTTAAATATTAGAATTGACTCCTCCCGTACTTTCATCAGGGTGACTCTGCTGAGGTTTTATAAAATGTAGGATTTTTGTTTCCTATACTAATTTTTAAACGTTATACAGAATTTTAAAAGCCTTTGGGGCCTTAGATATTCTGGAAATAGTTTTAAATGGCAGCTAAGTCCCTTTCCTAGATTGTGAAAAATTGCTCACAGTAACTCCCCCCGCCCCCATCCATGGGTTTGCTTTCCACGGTTTCAGTTACCCCTGCTTAACCACAGTTCAAAAATACTAAATGGAAGTTTCCAGAAATAAACAATTTATAAGTTGTAAATTGTGTGCCCTTCTGGGCAGTGTGATGAAATCTCATGCTATCCGGTTTTGTCCCATCCTAGACGTGACTCCTCCCTCTGTCCCTGTAGCCACACTGTGTGCACTGCCTGCCCTTAGTCATTTAGTAGCCGTCCCGGTTATCAGATCAACTGTCATGGTATCACAGTACCTGTGTTCACGTCACCCTGATTTTACTCACTGATGGCCCCAAAGCACAAGGAGTGATGCTGGTGATTCGGACATGCCACAGAGACGCTGGAAGGGGCTTCCTTTAAGTGAAAAGGGGTGTGTGTAGGGAAAACACAGTATATGTCGGGTTCAGTACCATCCATGGTTTCAGGCACCCGCTGGGGGCCTGGGCACGTGTCCCTCCACTCCTCTGCCTCCCACTATACGGAGGGACGACTGTTCTAAAATTCCCAAGTATAATTGAGAGCTCTCTGTAGTCACATTACCCAACATCTGCCACATGGTTACTTGTGACTTTTCTAATCATTTGTATTAGCACTTTGGTTTCTTTTGTTTCCTGCCATTTATCCTAAGTTTGTCCCTTACCTGGATGAAAATGACGTCATCTGAAAATTTTACTGCTCTTACCTTTTTCATCTCTAAAAATAGTGTTGAAATAATAAATCTGTATTTTGGGTCCTCTTTCGTGAAGACAAAAGTCAAAGAGAGGGGGTCGCTTGAGACTTGATCGAGCGTGTCTGGGATTTAACAACAGAGCACTTGGCACTGACCCTATCACTTGGTCTTGTTATTCCTGTCTCCTGGGCCGCGTGTGTCTCTGATTTCTTTGCCTGAATAACGTTTCTGTTTCTTATAATGCACGTTTCTCGTGATGCTGTTTTAAAACCCTATGTAAGCCACATAAAGTCTTCCTCTTTTTAGACTATCTCTTATTTCTGTTCTTTTGCCTGCAACGCTCCAGTGACTGGCTCAACAAAGAGAAATGTATTTGGGAAAGAGTGCTTTTTCTTGCAATTTAAACGTTTGTTTAAATTATATTCATGACTTCCAGTTTTAAGGTAGAAGTTAGAGCAGAGGGTGCTGTGAGGCGAGAGGTTTTACTTTTAAGTTTCTGAAGCTGAGACGAGGGATAATGGTGATGTGTGCTTGGAGAAGAGTGATGGAACCGACAGGACTGTGCTGTCATTCATGTCTACATCTTACCCAGGCATAAGAACGGCGCTCTTGGAATCAGATGACCACACGTGTCCAACATGCCATCAGAATGACGTCTCCCCTGACGCTTTGATCGCCAATAAGTTTTTACGGCAGGTACCTGTCTTTGCATCCCTTTTATAATAACCCTTTTATGAAAACTTTTGTAATCTTTTAATTTAACTGTACTTGAGTAAATACTGCATCACATTTTCTACATTTTTGTTTGGTGTCTGTAGGCTGTTAATAACTTCAAAAATGAAACTGGTTATACGAAAAGACTGCGAAAGCAGTTGCCCCCACCGCCCCCTCCAATACCACCTCCAAGACCACTCATTCAGCGGAACCTGCAGCCTCTGATGAGATCGCCGATATCGAGACAGCAGGACCCTCTGATGATTCCATCAACATCTTCGTCAGCCCACCCTGCTCCCTCGCTGTCGTCTTTAGCTTCTAATCAGTCTCCCTTGGCCCCCACTGTGCCTGGAAACCCACCTTCTGGCCCAACCCCTGTACCTGACATCACTGCTACAGTCTCCATATCAGTCCACTCAGAAAAGGCGGACGGGCCTTTCCGGTGAGTCTGTCTGGAGACAAGTGAGAGCAAAGGGGTTGTTTTGTGCTTCAGCTGTTGTTTGGGTGACCTGCAGCATGTGCGTCCTCGCGGACCACTGCTCAGTGAGGTGGGCGACGTATGTGAAGCGACTGATTGATGAAGCATCCCAAGAGCAAAAGCTGTACAGTTGATTAGGTGTTGGGTGGTTTACTGTCGGCACTCTGCCATTGATTTGTGCCCGTCCTGCCGGTACTGAGAAGAGCAGGTGTGAACAGAACTAAGAATTTGGGAGAAGTGGAGGCAAGAGAAAGTGTTGGTAGAGGGGGAGAGGAGAAACAGTCACTGTTGGGAGCATAATTACATAGAAAAGAGTGAAAACTCGCTTAAATCCTCCACTTCAGAAGTGAAAGGGACCTTGGACCGTGTAGTTCAGTGGCTCATAAATGCTTAAAAACTCAGCTGGCTTTTAAAAGACAGGTGCCAGGGGTCTGTTCCAGACGGCCGAAGGCATGGGACGCTTACACGTAGATGGGACCCTTACACATCGATGGGAGAAATCCCACTGATATGATTTAGCCTTTTATTTGACTGACAGTAGGAATGAGGCCCAGTCCATTGCTTGTCTGAGATCCCCCTTTGGTCTAACACTAGAGCTCAAAGAAGAATTGACTCTTTAGTCCTGTATTGTTTTTGTCCCACTTTGATCTTTTTTTCAAGCTTTGCCATTCTTACAGTTGAACCGATTTCTATCATAGCCATCAGTTCTTTTACTTCTCACTTGTATATGAACAACTCTCCAAAAGTCCCATCTCACTTTCCTCAGAAGTTTTCATCATCTTTGTTTTAACTCATCTTAATGCCTGGTGATGGATAAACACAGTTAGTAACAAGATGTGATTTTTACCCTTGATCCTCCATGGCTTTTTAACATAGTATCAATTCTGTCGTTTTCTAGGGATTCTGATAGTAAAATGCTGCCAGCTGCAGCCCTCGCAGCCGAACATTCAAAGGGAACGCCCTCAATTGCACTCTCTGCTCTTATGGAAGAAAAGGCAAGATTTACTGGCTTCTTATAAACTTGCAGATTATTTTTACAGCAGTTTTTTGATTTAGGGGTTTCGGGGGGTTTTGTGGTGGTGGTGGTGTTTGTGTTTTGGGGGTTTTCTTTAGCTGTTTCTTTAAACTCTTTTTATTTATGTCTTTTCCTAAAGGGTTACCAGGTGCCTGTACTTGGAACCCCATCTCTGCTTGGACAGTCATTATTGCATGGACAGTTGATCCCTACAACTGGTGAGTAAAATGATTGGGGCTAGAACTTTTCCTTTAGAAAATAATTTAAATGCAGTTTCACATTTAGTCATTGTTTTTGTTTATTTTGTTTCCAAGGTCCAGTAAGAATAAATACTGCTCGTCCGGGCGCTGGCCGACCAGGCTGGGAACAGTAAGTGCACATTTAAAATCATCTTAATTTAAGATGATGGCTTTCGAGCTAGACGGTGGGAGTTATACCCTGGGCAGTGTGCTGCCGAACGCCTTCTATTGTCAACCCCTCTCTTAGATGCCATGTTAACACACTTTTATCTAAAATGTCACAAATTGAGGTTATATGAAGAGTTATTTTCTAAAAGTAAGAATAATTCTTTTCTAAAATAGTAAAATATAAAACCTTAGAAACTCTACTTTTTAACAAATGGTGATCTTAATGGAACCTCACTTAATGAATTGATAAGAATTACTTGCAAGACTAGGCTAAAGACCGAATCACTTCTCCAAATAGATTACACTTTTTCCTGTTCTTAATTTGGATGTTCAAAATTTTAGTAAATGTATATATATTAAGATTAAAGCCTACTAAACACAATTTCTCATTTTCAGTGCCATGTTAATGAAATGTTATTGCCTATGAAAATCTGTAGGATATAATTTTCTGCCCTGCAATAGAAAAAAACTTTGATCTTCTCTGTAGGATGTTCTATGTCATTAAAAACCAATACATTATTTATTACCTTTCTATTTATACAGTCAGTTCTGCTCATGTAATCCACATAAACAAGCTTATATGTTTATATAAACTGGGTTATATTCTACAACTTTGATTTTTTTTGTTTCAAAGGTAAATGAAATTTCTTATAGAAAAAGTTTGTTAAGTGAGAGACTAGTAGAATATGTCAATAGAAAGAACACGGGGTTTGGCGACAGGCAGACCTGGGACTGAATCCCGGCTCCTGTGTCTACGTGACATGACAGTGGGCGTGGTTTCCCTTCACAGCCGGGCCCCTGATCTGCAGGACTGATGGGTGCCGCCTACTTGACATGTGACGCCCCACCACACCTGCAGGAACCAGGGCTTTTTTCCTTTTCTGTAACTTACAGAGTGCTGATAAAAACTTAATATTGAAGAAATAGTCTATATTGAGGTGTATTTATTGTCACAATGTGTTAATCAGGAAAAGTAGTTAATTTTAAGTAAGTATGATGCTTACTTGCATCTCTTCTGCCTGGAACAAGTGTAAGAGTTGGGGTAAGGAGTAGGAGAAAGCTCTCAGAACAGTTAAAATTGGTGTCTCGGAGTCTGCACACTAAACGGTCATGTGTCACTCAACCTGTCTTATCTTCCCACACAGTTCCAACAAGCTCGGCTATCTGGTTTCCCCACCACAGCAAATCAGGAGAGGGGAGAGGAGCTGCTACAGGTAGGCTCGCTCAGAACCGTGAAAAACAGAAACTTGATGACACTGAGAAGTTAAAGCACAGCAGTGGGCTGTGCTGGCCTCACTGAGTTACGTCCTCAGAAAGTGCCCTGAACAGGCCTAGAAAGGAGTTACACTTAGTGTTTATAGTGATGGCTTCAGGCTCCTTCCCTGTGACGGCTGCCCGCCGTCTGCACACGGCGCACACTGCCTCACGTGCCTGGGGGTGGAAGGTAGCTGTTAGGGCCGGGCAGCATTTAAGGCGTCGGTGTAAAACACAAGCTAGCTAGCTGGGCTTCCCCAGGTGAAGAGAGAGATGCCTTGATCCCTCTCCTACACTCACTTCTCCCAGCCTCCTCTTAGCACCTCTTTCTAAAAGAAGAGACGAGATTGTTGGGGGCTGTAGCTCTGAATAGACATGAGCAGCGTTAGTCCTTACAAGAAGTGAGCCACTGGTCTCCCTTTGTAGGGCATGCTCGCCCCAGGGGAGAGGGTCCCCCAGTTAACTCGAACAGGAATAGGATTGCTAAGGCTCCGTTACTAGATCACGTTAATGGGAGAGCATATTGACAATCAGACCCGGAAAAGAGGCTTAAAATCTACCCCTCTGCAGTGCTGCTGGGTACAATCGCCTGTAATTTAAGGACCTCGAGCGTAACAGAAAGAAGCCCACTCTTAAAGGAGCCACGACTTCTCTGATGAGGCGAAACTCAGAAACTGCGGCCAGCACTGTTGTTCACACCTAGGCCTTGGAGAGAAAACATGGGAGATTTCAGTTCGTTATAAATGTTAAAACTAGTTCATTTGTTCTATTTTGAAGGGTCTTTACCCACTTTTTCCTCAAAAAGATGACAGGAAGTGTTTTTTCTTTTAAACTTATCAGTTGGTTTTTTAAAAGGACAGATTAGGAAGGAACAGGGCATGACGGAGTGATAATACCTGTGACCTCGCAGGAGAGAGCTAGTAATTACAGCGTGGCCGTGCAGACGTCTCGTCCCTGGGCAGCCTTCATGGTTACTTTTACATAGAAACGTGTCTGTGTTCTTGCACTTATTGGAATAGTTGATTCTGTCCCACTGCCTGTAAGTTTGAAGATAATTACGGACAGAACAGACAGGCTTACTTGTCTGCGATGATTTCAGTTGGAAGGAATAATATCTTGGAATTTATTTTCCCAGAAGCATAAACCGTGGGCGACACCACAGCGAGAGGTCCCAGAGGACGCAAGGCCCATCGCTGCCAGCGGCGCCCGTCTTCGTGCCTGTGCCGCCCCCTCCTCTGTACCCGCCTCCGCCCCACACGCTGCCCCTGCCCCCAGGTGTACCCCCACCTCAGTTTTCTCCTCAGTTTCCTCCTGGCCAGCCACCTCCTGCTGGGTACAGTGTCCCTCCCCCGGGGTTCCCGCCAGCTCCAGCCAATCTGTCCGCACCTTGGGTATCGTCAGGAGTGCAGACAGCTCATTCAAACACCATCCCAACAACACAGGCACCACCTTTGTCCAGGGAAGAGTTCTATAGAGAGCAGCGGCGGCTGAAAGAAGAGTAAGTGTTTGGCTTTGAATTATTACACACACTCATTTCTGATGTAACTTAAGTAGGTATCGTTGGGAACATTTTCCAGTGTTCCCACTTAGCACAAGAAAAATCACCGACAAATGAAACCAAAGCCATACAAGCAACTTCCTCAGGGATTCCTAGTTATTTCTAGTTTTAAAGTGGAAAACTAATGGCAATTTCATTCATTTCATTCATGATCTAATTACATTTGTCTTGTTAGTTTTCTTAAATGGTTTTTGTTAACTTTCGCTCTTTAACTTTATTTTACTAGGGAAAAGAAAAAGTCCAAGCTAGATGAGTTTACAAATGATTTTGCTAAGGAATTGATGGAATACAAAAAGATTCAAAAGGAGCGTAGGCGCTCATTTTCCAGGTTAGTGTTTTGCAAGCCTTCGCAACAGAATTACAAATGGGACTTTGAATACCCAGGGACTAGCTATGGATATAAGTCACATGGCACTTCCGGAGCTTTCCCGATTCCATCTAGGCACATAGAGTGGAGATGCAGCTGGTTTCCCAGTATCTGTTTATTGAAATAATGTTTCGGTGTCAATTCTATCGTGTAGAACCAGCAGTTATGGGGATTAAATTGCCCTTGTCCCTCGAAGTAATTTGAATGTGAAATACTTGGGAAATGTTTGTGGAAGGAAAGAAATAAGGAAATAGCCACAGAACATTTCTGAGGACCCCTTTACCTGAGGCTACAGCTTCTTGCCAGAACATTCACCTGTGTAGCTCTGAAGTATGGTAGAATACAAATTGCTTTATTGATAGAAAAATTGAATTATAAATTCCCTGGAAGTTTGTTTAAAAGAATTATTTTTAAAGCTGACACTTGAAATGTGGTTTCTTTTAAAGATAGACTATTGGCTAATATAGGACAAAAAAATTACTCCTAATTAAGTAATCAGCTAGGAAATAAAATGTAATTGGCATTTTAAAAAAATATTGAATTAATTAGCTCATATAACTCACGGTACATTAATGCACTTCACTCTGATTGTTAAGATTTCGCTTTTGTTTTGTAACCAGTGATTGCTCTGATCTCTGTGCTTTATTCCACTCCAATAGAGGCCTCTGTGCCTCTTGACTCATCTCAGAGGAAACCTGATAATAAAGAAAGGTGGAACCGTGAGGAGAGCATGCTAGATAGGAGCTGAGAGTCTGGGTTTCATCTCTTACGTCTTTCTCAACTATCTACTATTGTCTTGTTTTGTTTTTAGGTCCAAATCTCCCTATAGTGGGTCATCATATTCGAGAAGTTCGTACACTTACTCTAAATCGAGGTCTGGCTCCACGCGGTCCCGTTCGTACTCGCGGTCGTTCAGCCGCTCGCACTCCCGTTCCTACTCACGGTCTCCTCCGTACCCCCGAAGAGGCAGAGGCAAGAGCCGGAATTACCGTTCTCGGTCCAGGTCTCATGGGTACCACCGGTCTAGGTCACGTTCACCCCCCTATAGACGATACCATTCACGATCGAGGTCCCCTCAGGCCTTTAGGGGACAGTCTCCCAGTAAACGCGCTGCACCCCAAGGGGAACCAGAGCGTGAGTATTTTAACAGATACCGAGAAGTCCCACCGCCTTATGACATCAAGGCTTATTACGGGAGGAGCGTTGACTTCAGAGACCCATTTGAAAAAGAGCGCTACCGAGAATGGGAGAGAAAATACAGAGAATGGTACGAAAAATACTACAAAGGCTACGCTGCTGGAGCTCAGCCCCGACCATCCGCCAACAGAGAGAACTTTTCTCCGGAGAGGTTTTTACCGCTGAATGTCAGGAATTCTCCCTTCACAAGAGGCCGCAGAGAAGATTATTCTGCTGGGCAGAGTCACAGGAGTCGGAACATGGGCAGCAGCTACCCAGAAAAGCTTTCGACAAGAGACGGCCACAGCCAGAAGGATAATGCGAAGTCAAAAGAGAAGGACGGTGACAGCGCTGCAGGAGACGGGAAAGGAAGCAAGCATAAGAAGCACAGGAGGAGGAGGAAGGGGGAGGAGAGCGAAGGCTTCCTAAACCCAGAGCTCCTGGAAACGGCCAGGAAATCCAGAGAGCCTGCGAGTGGTGAAGAAAGTAAAGCAGACCCATTGTTCGTTCTCCCAGGTAGAGACGACGCCACACCAGTTAGGGACGAACCAATGGATGCCGAATCCGTCACTTTTAAATCAGTGTCTGAAAAAGACAGGAGAGAGAAAGATAAACCAAAAGCAAAAGGCGACAAAACCAAACGGAAAAATGATGGATCGGCTGTGTCCAAAAAAGAAAATATTGTCAAGCCTGCTAAAGGGCCCCAAGAAAAACTAGAGGGGGAGCGTGAGAAGTCTCCTCGACCTGAACCCCCGCTGAAGAAAGCCAAAGAGGAGACGCCAAAGACTGATGCTGCCAAGTCATCGTCTTCCTCCCAAAAGGACGAAAAGGCCGCCAGCACGCCCCGGAAAGCACACTCCAAGTCAGCCAAAGAGCAGCCAGAGCCACGGCCACTCAAAGAGGAGAAAGCGAAGAAGGACCACTCGAAAGACGTCAAGCCAGAGAAGCCAGCTGCGAAGGACGAAAAGGCCAAGAAGCCCAGTGAGAAAAGCAAGCCGCTTGACAGCAAGGGGGAGAAAAGGAAAAGGAAAACCGAAGAAAAGGGTGTCGACAAAGATTTTGAGTCATCTTCACTGAAAGCCTCCAAACTAGAAGGAGGTGAGATTGTGAAACCATCACCGAAACGCAAAATGGAACCTGATGTTGAAAAGATGGACAGGACCCCAGAAAAAGACAAAGCTTCCTCCTCAACTGCCCCGGCCAAAAAAATCAAGCTCAACAGAGAAACCGGTAAAAAGATTGGAAGCACGGAAAACCTGTCCAATACAAAAGAACCCTCTGAAAAACTGGAGTCGGCGTCCAGCAGAGGGAAACAAGAAAAGGGCAAAGGGAAGGCCAGGCGGAAGGTGACTGGCTCCGAAGGACCCAGCTCCATGCTTGTGGACTACACCAGGTATCCATCCGATTGTGTTCCCACGTCCTCCCGTGCGGGTGCTTTTGCTTAATGAGGAGTGCGCTGACGTTGGGGCTTAGGCTGCTTCACTCTTGTCTGTGGGGGAAAGATTGGGAAGGGGAAGGGGTCAGTGGATGTGGGGGTGAGCACATTGGCTTTTGGTGCAGTCAGAGACTTAAATCGTTCGTCTCTCTGCTTGAGCAGGGTACTTGCCTTTGAAAGTTCAAAGTACGTTTACCATGTTTAAGTTTTCGCCTTTTTAGATTTATCAGCGTTTCCTAATAGCAAGTTCCTCATTAATGAAAAGGTGTCTTCATTCTTTTTAGTACGAGTTCGACTGGAGGCAGTCCTGTGAGGAAATCTGAAGAAAAAACAGATACAAAGCGAACTGTCATTAAGACCTTGGAAGAATATAATAACGACAACACAGCCCCTGCGGAAGATGTCATCATCATGATCCAGGTCCCTCAGTCCAAGTGGGACAAAGATGACTTTGAATCCGAAGAAGAAGAAGTCAAGTCCACACAGCCCGTATCAAGTGTAGGAAAACCTGCTAGTGTTATAAAAAGTGTTGGCACCAAACCATCAAATACAGCCAAGTACCCTGAAAAAGAGAGCGAGCCGCCAGAGAAAGCTCAGAAGCTCCCCAAGGAAGCGGGCCCTGAAGTGATGCAGCACGAGGCCAAAAGCTCCAAACCCTCTGCGTCTAGTGACAAAGGGAAAAGCCGGGACCGAGAGCATTCTGCCTTGGAAAAGGAGAACACCGAAAAGCGGAAGGGCAGTACTCAGCCCGAAAAGGAGAGTGACGTGGACCGTCTGACCGAGCAGGGGGGTTTCAAAGGCGTGGCTCTGCCTTCCAAAGAGGCCAGGACGTCAGAGAAGCACGATTCCAGCCGAGCTTCCTCCAGTAAAGACTTCACCCCCAACAGAGACAAGAAAACAGACTATGACAGCAGAGAGCACTCGAGCTCCAAACGCAGAGACGAAAGGAGTGAACCGACAAGAAGAAAAGACTCTCCATCTCGGAGTAAAGACTCTGCATCTGGACAGAAAACTAAGCCCAGGGAGGAGAGAGATTTGCCTAAAAAAGGACCAGGAGAGTCCAAAAAAGGTAGTTCTAGTCCCTCAAGAGACAAAAAACCTCACGACCACAAAGCCACTCACGATGCTAAACGCTCGAGTGAAGAGACAAAACCTATAGATAAAAATCCTTGTAAGGACCGTGAGAAGCATGCGTCTGAAGCGAGGAACAGTAAGGAGTCAAGTGGCAATAAACTACTTCACATACTTAACCCTCCGGACCCACAGATTGAAAAAGAGCAGGCTGCTGGGCAAGGTGACAAGAATGCCACCAAGCCTAAACCCCAGTTAAGTCATTCTTCTCGACTTTCGTCCGACTTAACCAGAGAAACTGATGAAGCTGCTTTTGAACCAGACTATAATGAAAGTGACAGTGAGAGCAATGTGTCTATAAAAGAGGAAGACACTTCTGGAAAAGTTGCTAAGGAGCCGAAGGATAAAGTGACAGAGAAAGTCAAAGAGAGCGTGGACGCAGCCGTGGGCAGCCAGGCGGGCGTCACCAGGAGCCACAGTCAGAGCAGCCCGAGTGTCAGTCCGAGCAGAAGTCACAGCCCTTCTGGAAGCCAAACCCGAAGTCACAGTAGCAGTGCCAGTTCTGCAGAAAGTCAGGACAGCAAGAAGAAGAAGAAGAAGAAGGAAAAGAAAAAGCACAAGAAGCATAAAAAGCATAAGAAGCATAAGAAGCACGCAGGCCCCGAAGCAGAACTGGAGAAAAGCCAAAAACACAAACACAAGAAGAAGAAGTCGAAGAAGAACAAAGAGAAAGAAAAGGAGAAGGAGAAAGATGACCAAAAAGCGAAATCTGTCCCCGCGTAGGACAGAGTCTTAAAATTGACTTAATTACTAAGTCATCTGTATTAAATTTTGTAATAACGTAAAGAGACTCGAGCCTTGTGAATAATGATATGGAAGACCCTGTGCTGCACTTAAAATATTGCTGCTTGATTATTTGATTTTTACATCAGAGCTTTATAACACGGACTTTTGTACAGAATTTGAGCTGTGACCATGTAACATGAGAGGTTTTGCTAGGGCCTTTTCTTTCTAACCACCATTAATTAGTTGGGGTGGAGTTTACTGTACTGTGAAATTTTCACATTTGAATTTTTTTAATTGCCTGGCAAAAGCTGGTATCAGTTCTAAAATATCAGCAATGTAATTTGCTGAATTCATTACAACCCCGTTATGTCAGTTTTTGATTACAATAAAAGTTTTCAGTAAACTTTTCAAATGTCAGACTTTGCATTGTTGGGAGGATAGTCGTGTCGTTTTCTTCTTCCAGTTCCCTGTTTAAAATACCACTGAGCCTTTGGTGTGAGGTGAGCGGAATGCGTGGAATTCTGACGTGAGCAGATCGGCCTTATCGGTGGGCTGGGAGGTGCCAGAAATAAACCCACTAACCGGAGACCTGGTTGTGTCCATCTAGAAGGGTTTTGAACGTAGTCCTTACAAGTGTGGACTTGAATTTGAGAGATGAAGAGTTGTGGTGTGTTGATGGTCATGTGTTTTTCTTGAAACCCTGATAAAGGAGTATTAAATTCCTTGATAAAGTGCCAGCTACAGGACACAGCAGCGACTCCCCGGCGTGCCCAGCGGGCAGAAGAGGAGTGGGTCCAGGTAAGACATGGAACCCCTTACCGGCGCTGCTTCCGGGAGTGTGTTGTGGGCGCGAAGCTGCTGGAGGGTTGGGTGGCTAGGCTGCTTGAGAAACATGGTGAGTGAACGAGGATTTGGAAAGGTTAGTGGGCAGGAGGGCCAGCTCGGCTCGGTGGTGGAGAGAGGGTTTGTCTCGGGGCCGGAGCGCGTGCTGGTGGCACCACCTTGGTGGGCACCTGGTTCCAGGTGACTGTTTTGTGGTGATGCTGGAGTCACATGCTTTGTCCCCAGGGCTTATCACTAGGCCTGGGGTGTGTGTGCTGCCATTCCCAGCCCCCCCATCTTACACAGCACACACCAGCGCTCAGATACCCCGGCCTGGCTACACTCTTCGCAGCCTGGACCCCAAATCCAGGTGATACCTCCTACACTCACTGAGGATCCGGGCACCCAGAACCAGCATGAATTCCATTGTGTGGGGTCGGTTTCATTACCTGGGCTCTTTGTCCTTCAAGCTCAGCTGACCTTCACTTGACCTGCGGTCCACGCCGTGCCGGTTCCCCAGGTAGTCACCCCCTTGGGCATGCCTGCTGTTCCAGCTCGGCCCCCCTCGGTTGCGTTTAGGCCTCAGGTGTCAGCCTGCCCTTTAGTCGCTTTGTTGTACCCTTTGTGTGGTTGCCTACACCCCGCCATTTCAAGCACATGGCAGCACCCCCAGAACCTCCCCTCTCTCCATCTTGCTATACCTAAACACTGGATTCCCAAACTTAGGTAAGGGTGCTGGGTACTGCTTAACAAAATTAAAGGAAATGGAAGAAACTGCGTTGCCAGGCGCTGTGCTGGTGCTTGTACTTGATTCTTAAGGAAACTCCATGGCTTTGGACACTTGGGGCTGGTGCCCAGCCCGTCTGGCCGTTCCCCACCATGTGACAAGTGGGACAAACTTTGGGACCCGCCGAATTCTGGTCCCCAGAAGGCAATGCTCAGTCTCCATGTCTGCCCGTGTTCCGTTTGGCTGGGAGTTCCTTCCTTCTGCGCCTGTCTCTCAGTTTCTTATTGTGCAGGAGCCCGCTGGCTTTCTAAGCTCCCTCACGGTGCCCACCTGCCAACCCACGTCCCCATGCCCCCAGGTGCTGTTGTGCCACCTCGCTGCAGAGACACCACTGTTTTCTGTGGGTTCTGCCTGCGTGTGTCCCTCTCCGGACGGTGTGAGCTCAGAAGGAACAAACGTACCTGGTCCATATTCCCGAAGCCAAACCATGCCCTGCACATAATATTGGAAGTGATAAGATGAAAGAATTTTTTTTGTAGCTTTTCAAGTTACATTTTGCAAACGTTCTGGAAAGCAACGGTATGTCGCCTTTTTTAAGGAAGGAACATGGTTTTCGAGCTGCTGTAGATTTGGCTCCTAGCACCCTTCTGATAACTAGCTGCTTCCGCGTGCCGAAGGGTTTGGGAGGCCTTCCAGTTGGCCCCAAAATAACTCCTTTGCGAGTCTCACGCCTGCCGAAGGGGGCCAAGTCCCCTCCAAAGCGTGGAAGCCAGGCTTTCAGGGAGGCAGGACGCCGTGAAGGGCTTATTCCCGGTTCTGCACACGTGCCCATCTGTCCAGGCCCCTCTAACTGTTAGTGAGAGCTGTTCTTACTGTACAAAACCGTGGACCAAACCCCCAAGTGTGCTGGCCTCACGGAACTCTTAGGTGTGTACGAGTATACTGAGTGTGTTTGTGTTTGTGTGTGTGTGTGTGAATGCGCGCCCTGCTGCTGCTTTTCATGTATCAGACACGTCCTTTTGACACATTTTCCACAAACACTTTGAATTTTAAGAACTGCAAATGATCGTGTTAGAGGAGGAGTGAATGAAGTAAGCCGCTCCAGGCCTTGATAAAGGGTAGCGCAGTGGGGGGGGGGCTGCCGTGTGAGTGACAGCTCAGCAGCGACGCGCAGCAACTGGGACTAGCGAATACAGGTTTCTTGGGAATTCTTCCACTAACGTAGTCAGGAGTTTATCAAGGCGCTCTTAGAAGTCGCTGAGATTGTTTTAAAGATCATGTTAAAAGGACTTAAATAGCTATCACTAATTTCCTTATGCTCCTAACAGCTGATGGATGGTGAACAGCGACCTCATATCAAAGCCGATGCCAGTACAAAGCTTGCTTTTCCACTTTAAAACCTGGCTGTTGAGTCATTTGCTATGAAGTTGGCTTGGCCAGTATGAATAGTTTTCCGTTTAGTTTTCCATTTTTAGTCTTTAGTAGTAAAAGATACTAATACAAGAGTGGACATACATTTAGGATTCAAAATAAAAGACTTGTGGAAACATTGGCCCCTTAATACAATTTTGCTAATCGTTTTTAAGTCTGTTTGTACCTAAGCTTCATGGTGTGTAAAGAAAGCCGGTAGAAAGGTTCTTTTCTGTGTTCTAAAACAAGAATGATAACAGATTTGATGAGAAACGAACATGGAGGGAACTGGATCAGTGCTAACGGGGGCAAGGACAGCCAGAAAGGCGCGGGGTTAGGCCACAAAGCCCCGTTTTTGAAGTTCAGAAGGCCCCAGAACTGCCTTCCTTGGGAAAGCAGATGCCTCTTGGAAGGTCTGTGTGAGCGCCGCTGTCTAGGGGTTGGGGGGCTGTGGGCTTGTGGGGAGCATTCCCTCCCAGGTCACTTGTCACCTGATGGACATCGCCCCGAGGAATCCAGCATCCTGGGGACGGAAAGAGTCTATCCAGAGGTGGATGTGCTATGTACGCCTGGTGCCACTCAGGCCTCAGGCCCCGGCTGGCCCAGCGGGGCGATGACGGCCCTCGAGTCCGGAGTGCTCACCCTCACACTGCGGGTCCCCGCCAGACGCTTGAAATCGTGCCCTTGGTGCTGCTCAGGCAGGCAGGTCAGAGGGACTGGACACAACTCCAGAAATGGGCCAAATGTAAGAGTATTCAGTAACAGTCTCAGCATAAATCAACGTGAAAAGCATAGGATTTTCAGTGAGTGACTGAGAGAACTGGACAAGCATTTAGAGAAATTTCTAAATTTTTGCCCATTTTTAATTGAGTTATTTGCTGTTGGCTATCGAGTTGTATGAATTCTTTGTCTACTTTGGAGGTTAACCCCTTATCAGATAGATGGTTTGCAAATGTTTTTCCCATTCTGCAAGTTGTCTTTTCACGTCACTGGTGGTTGGTTTTGCTGTGGGGACGCTTTTTAGCCTGATGTAATCCCACCCGTTTGTGTTTTGCCTTTGTTGCTTGTGCTTTAGGTGTCATCCAAAAACGGCACAAGTTTGTGTTGTTGCGTCAGCCAAATGTTGATCAGTTTTCCTCCAGCCTTGTTTTTTTTTTAGAAATTTTATTGGGGAACAGTGTGTTTTTCCAGGACCCATCTGCTCCAAGTCAAGTACAGTAAAACCTTGGATTGCGAGTAACTTGGTTTGCGAGTGTTCCTCAAGACGAGGAACATTTCTAATAGATTTTAACATGGTAAACGAGCGACAGCTTGCAATACGAGTAGTTTGTTTCTGGAATGAATTATGCTCGCAAACCAAGGTATTACTGTAGTTGTTTCAATCTAGTTGTGGAGGGCACAGCTCCTTGGCCCATGTGGGGATCGGACTGGCAACCTTGGTGTTATGAGCCTGCGCTCTAACCAGCTGAGCTAACCGGCCGCCCCTTCCTCCAGCCTTCTAAGATCACCTCTTTAAGTAGTTTAGGTCTTTATCCAAACTGGCCAGTAACTGGGAAACCCAGGGTCTCCCCATATTCCTGTTGACACTCTGGTACCTCCTCTGTCCTGGTTTCTTGATGTTGATTTTTCTCTCCTGACCTCAGCTTGGTAGAATCTCACTCAGTCTTCACTGGTTTTAAGATGTTTCTCCCTCAAACACCACATAATCCTCATCACCCCTTCTTTTCTGTCCTACCCTGTAGGCGCTTCATGTTTTAAACTGAAGCTACTCATTTGGGTGTTTTTCTAAACCAAGAAGCAATTCCTCTGCGACGAATGGTGCCGCTGGAGGACTGAAGAAGCTGCAGTTAGCTCTTCAAAATAGCAACTTGTTTTTTCCTCTAAAAAATTTTAAAATTACAAACTCAGCTGTTACACAGAAATACCAACAGCCAATTAACATTTTAAAAAGTTAAATGTCACTGGCAGTAAAACGCCAATAAAACAAAGTCCCGTTGCATTCAGGCGTTTGGAGTTACCTGTAAGTGCGGAACCAGCCTGGTCCTCCAGCCTGGATTTGTCTCTGGTGGCTTTTTCATAACATCGGCCCAGATCATGAGACACTCTCAATCTGCAAACTTTTAAGCTGGGTTTGTTTTTTATTTCTAACAAAGCTGTGCCTAGTTTTAAAAGTCATGCATTTCTTCAGGACAACAAAATCTCTGTCTCCTGCCCTAACCCACTGCACCCTGAGTCCCGGGAAATCAATTTCAGCTCTGCTAGAACTTTCTTTAAAAACAAGAACCTTATTACTTATAGAGAGCATCCTCATGCTACTGATTTTCCAGTTTCAAGTTCTAGTTGATACTGACTAGAGTACCTTCCTGGCCACCATGTACATATATATCCTCTGCCACCCTCCAAAGAAGCTTCAGCATTTGGGCTAAATCGAAATGTGTACGTTACTACGTCAG